TTTTTATCTGATTACTCGATTAATCGTAAGAATAATCGATAGATTACTCGATTACTAAAATATTCGTTTACAACAGCCCTAAACCTTACACTAAAAGTCTCAATATTTACCAAATATTGCAAAGTTGACACTTTAAGTGGACTTTTAATGCAGCTTTTCAATAAAAGTAACTTTTTTTTCACCGAAAGACACTTCATGACAACAGTCATAAACATTCATGAAGACTTCTCCATATTCATGACAGTGTTAATGTCAGTCTTATGCACACCCCTTCAAATAAAGTGTTACCCAAACATCACTGTTAGAGAAAATGTAAACAGACAATAAAATAAATAATTATCTGATGGTGTAAACAGGATATATTTCCAGTGTTATTCCTCTGTCTTCTATGTAATCAGTGCAGTAATCTCATTTTACTTTTTGTGGCCAGGGGACTTCAAAGCCCATCCTAAAGACCTCATTACGGCCCCCTGCTGGCTGAAAGGTTTCAGAGGTAATGAGCTGCAGCGATTGATTCGGAAAAAGAAGATGGTGGGAGACAGGATGACAACTCTGGACAGACACAACTTGGAGAAGAGAATCAGATTCCTCTACAGACGCTTCAACCGCACCGGAAAGCACCGCTAACGCCGCAATGAGCCTCATACAGCAAGGACTGTCAGTGAATTCATCACATCACTGTGTTATGCTGATCGAATTAGAAAATAACTTGCAGCCATTGTGTACGTTTAGTTTTTGGACCTAATGAAGATTGTTTAAAAGCCTGGAAGAACACCGAAAATACATCATAACATGATAATTAAAATGTGTTTTTACACTTACATTCATTTTAAACCTGATTTATTTGTTTTTTTTTCCTGCTTAGGCAGGTGGGAGTAGACCAAAGGCTGAGCGGTCCAGATGGACATACATCATCAGACAAAAAGACACATGTGAATGTCATTCTGAAACTATATACTCACTCTTAAATCGCTTATTAAGGTTGTAAATAATGAGGTCAGTTTTAAAGATAATCAATTGCAATTAAAGGTAAAATTGTATGTAGCTGTGTTAAAAATAACAACACTGGGTTTGTATTCCTCTAACTGTGTTTGTTTCCATTTGTGACTTCATGGGGAATTCTGCTCCAAATCAAAGCATGAAGAAAAATGGTCACATTTGTTCTGACTTTATAGAAAGTGATAGCATTAGGCTGCTCAAAGACTGTCAATCAGCATTTTTCTTAAACGGACACATTAAATGTATAGAATATTAAATACTTGAACTAATAGTTCATAATTCCTGTTGGTCTGAAGTCAAGAAGCTGCTCCTTTACAGGTGATTTGGAGTCATTCACTTGTTGAAACTATTTCATTTGTTGTGAGGAAACTTGTTATCTTCAAGTGTCTGGATGTTCTCACTGATCTTTAATCCCTCATATTGGTGGATTGACTCAATAATCTGACAAACATCCCATAGCATGATGCATCTGCAGCCATGCTTCACAGTGTATTCTTTGGTTACATGTTGTCTCCAGAGAATAGGAGAGAGAAAATAATAATTTATAATTTGTCGATCCATGTTTGATAGATGTTGACCTTCTTTGATCAGCCTGGAAACATGACCTGTTTCTAATAGAAATAGTTTTGGTAATTCTAAGCCAAAGCAAGAAAAGTTTTTCTGATTTAAATTCAGGCAGAGAAAAAATTTTGTCTAAATATCTGGTTTCACGTCACATCACTGAGATTCTGTCTACTCTGATGCAAGCAGGACATCCCTACGCTCCCATCATTGCTTGGTCTGCATATATTTAAAGAAATTCTTGTTAAAATTAATTCACAATGTTTTCACTTCTACATGGGAACAAAGAAATCACAATAAGCTTCAAAAACCATATAGGGTTTTCAGCCAAAATCTTGATTCATGAGCAAAAGTTTATGTCCCTGACTGTTTGCACTTGATGTTCAGACATTAAAATACAAATACAGAAATTTGGCACAAAATAAAAAAGGCACATTTACATGCATGCATGCACATAAGAAGAAGACAAGCTTGATTGATCTGTTTTATGATCTTTGCAGTTGGTGTAGTTCTCCCTTGCAGAAGAAATCTGACTTCAGTGGAGCAAACCTGGGTGAATGAATTAAAATCCATGTTAAAATCATTCATTTCTTAACATAATAGAAATGGTTTTATTAAAGAAACGTCAACAAAAGTTTGAATTATCCTTTCATATAAAGTTCGCGCTTCCAAACTGCATTGACCCTTCATTCTGTCAATCCAGCATTGGCTTTATGACCTCAGTTTTCCGCGGCTCATTTAATTGTTACTGTTGTTGAATAAGTGGGTCTGTCAAAGTGCACACGGTGCGGATTTAAACAGGCTGGACTCGAGTCAAACAGAGGATGTGATACAGTAGCCGGTGGGTAATTGGGAGAATCCCGGGCCAGGGAGAGGAAAACAGTCGAGTCAACACTCCGGTTGTCCACTATACCGCAGTCTGGTCCCGCCGCCCCATCCAACACGGAGAGCTGCAGCACTGCAAAGCCTGAGAGGAGGGAACGGGAGGGGAGCGAAGGGGAGGGGAGGGGTGCCGCACTGTCGTTGGGAGTCCAAGTGAGGAGACGCATTATTGCAGCTGAAACACTTTGCACGAACCAAAGTACCGCACTTCCCCCCCAAGACGAAGAGGAGGAGGAGGAGACGGGAGTCAACGAGAAACAGCTGGTTTCTCATCACTGCACTTTTCTCTCTCCCGATCTTGAAATTTGTTTTGTGGCTCTCAGAAGAGGAAACTACCCAACCTGGCAGCCAATCAGCGCTGCGTCCTCGATCAGCATCCAGGAGCAGCTCCAAACGCTCAGCATCACTTGGCAGAGCCGGACGCAGAAAAGCCCCGCTGGGACCCGAACACCCATGGATTCATCTCTCGGCTGGATTATAATTTAGAAGCGCTGCTCTCTTCTTGAACTCGCGTTGCTCCCCATCTTTCACCCCCACTGTGAGTTATTGCCCGACCTGTATACGTGGCTCGGTATTGCGGTACTTTTGCTGACGGCTTGCAGTATAAATGCATCGCTAGAAGATCTCCACTGCGCCAAGAAGACTCCCCGCCCATTTCTGAAGCTTCTTAAATCTCTTTACTAATTAAAACCTCAGATTGTTTTTCCTGGATAAGTGCCTTCACTTATTTTCGGAGATTTTTTATTATTATTTTTACTTTAGTATCCTCCCTCTCCTCCCTCACTTCCACCGCTGAGTCAGTTCAAACAGCTGCATAGAAGATGTGAGTATTAATGCGGATTCTCTTTTGCGTCTTTTTTTTTTTTTACAACAATGCAAAAGACCGTAAAAGCTGATCCAGATAAATCTTTATTCAGTTCTTAATCATTTGCATTTGTTTTTAAATCAGCATAGAATCAAAAACTGTGTTGTTTTATTGCACTTTGCTGTGTTTTTTGCTGACGCATGTGAAAATTGTCGTCACATCTCTTAAATTATGTATAGAGTTGGATTACTGCCACAGCTAATCCTTCAGTGGATTTAAACCGAGTTGGTTTTAGGATGTTGCATCCCAAAAATCCTTTTAGTTCTTGTTAAACTATTTAAAATGTCATTATTTTTCGTTTGCTCGGCTCAGAAGTGGAGTTATTGGAAACACTGTAGAATAATAATACTAATAATAATAATGATGACATTTATCTTCTTCCTGGGACCATTTGGAAATTTTCAAAGATTTTATTTATTTATTTTTTTTATTCCCTGTGAAGCAGAGGCGCTCCTGAGGGGGGCGGATCCCCGGGAAGGCAACGGCCAACCTTGTTAAATTGCTGACCATCCCCACTGGCTCTACAGATATAGTATTACTCATTAATATTACAATAAAATTGGAGAAAACACATTTCATTGAACTGAAGTATCTATCTATTTATTTATTTTTTGTGTCCTTCTGCCACCTTTAAATATATATCACTATTTTTTGGTTCTGCTCTCCCACACGCTTCTCTGTACTTGTAAATGATGAATGACAACAGCTAAATAAAATTCCTGAAACTCTGTCAAAATGTGACTTTTTGGTTTTGATGTCACCCCCAACAGTATCAGTGGCCTCCATCTGGCCTGCCCTATAAAAACTTTCTGGAGTCGCCCCTGCTGAGCTGTGACTTTTATCCCCAGCAGCTCCCTCTCTCTGTGGAGTTTGTTTAATCGTTTTTTTTTTTTTTTTGCTTTCCCTCTTCTTGTACTATCTCTTTTTATTAAGACAGTGTATCAAAGTTTACTACTAGAAATTACATTTTCTCTTTTGTTTCTCAACTAAACAAAATCCTCAAGTTTTTTTTTCCAGCTAAAAATCCATACATTTTTTTTAAAATGCACTTTTTGAGTTATTTTTGTTATGCACTTTACCATTTTTCTTCAATCTAGGACTTTAAACATGAAAAACATGACATTTACTACACATTTAGGAAAATGTGACATCTAGTGCAATATGCTGCATTTATTGCAGAAAAGCCCAAAGCTCAAGTTCTTCTAGCCAATTCATTTTACGGAGAGTTAAAACCGCTTAAATTGACCAATAATATCACAGGCAGCCAGAGTTTTAACTCATAAAATGTAACATTCATCCATCTACTGCTTTGCAGTTCTGATACTGTGGTGATGATTGTGGCTGAATGCGTTATAGAGCTCAGTCTCTTTTGTTGTTCACTGTTCCATGAACTGAGCTGCTGACGGCGTTGTGGCCTATTTTAAAACTCAGATTTATTCTGCAACTGGGTCTACGTACTTTAGTGGTTTTCCCAAAACTTTCTCTTACGTAAACCACACATCATTAATCTAATTGAAGAGGTCATAATCAGGTTAATAATATTTGAACCCAGCAGCAACATGGAAGGCCTAGTGAAGATGAATGAAGGCTGTGATTGAAAATCTGAGCGCTTTCAGTAAATATTGATTTTTCAAGCTCATTCTAAGTTCAAACATGAGAAATATGTTGCTTAAAAATCAAGATGAATTTGTTTTTTATATGCTATTTGTAGTGGAAAATATATTTTTATATATTTATGTGTTCACAAAATAAATAATAAATGCTCCTCTTTCTCAAACAGACACTAATGAATAGCGAAACCTGAAACAATGCAGACATTTTGAAGAACTGGTCTTAATTTTTATACCTTTAGATTCATTATGTGGCACCCACATCACATCAGAACTGAACGATTCAAGTGTTTATTTTTAATGCAGTCTTTCTTTTGTTTCCAGGTCTGCCCCAGATGCTGCTGCCCCTCCAGCTGCTGGACCTCCAGGCGCTCCTGGCGCCCCGGGTCCAGATGGAGCCCCAGGTGGAGCGCCACCCGGCCCACCCAACACCAGCAGCAACCGCAGGCTTCAGCAGACACAGGCCCAAGTCGAGGAGGTGAGATAAACTAAGATCCCAAACCTGTGCAGTGCTACTTTCTCTTTTTAATTCAACTGAAATGTTAAAAGAAATTTTAAAACAGCACTCCATCTCTATTCTTTGTGATTTATTGGCTCAGAGGAACCAATTTCCCTTCCTCCATCAACCATTTAATCCTTTCTGTTTCTGCCAAATGCTGCCTCATTGCCGGCTCTAGGTGGTGGATATCATGCGGGTGAACGTGGACAAGGTTTTGGAAAGGGACCAGAAGCTTTCAGAGTTGGATGACAGAGCAGATGCTCTGCAGGCCGGAGCCTCCCAATTCGAAAGCTGCGCAGCCAAGCTAAAAAACAAGTACTGGTGGAAGAATTGCAAGGTGGGCGCATTTAAGTGTCTCATCACAGAGTAACTACTAATGTCTGAGTCAAGCTAATGCCTGCAGGCATTCAGCGTTCTGTTTGGAGGAAGACATTGTAATCTGTTAATGAGCTGCTGTTGAGGACTGCAGTGACGCCTCAGGGAAAAATGGAAGACAGACGTCTGCTACCGAAGAGTTTTAAACTGGAAACTGGAAACTGTTTACATAAGTAAACCATAACAAAATACAAATAGTGTATTGTTTTTGTTTTATTGAGTTGCTCAGGTGGTGTTTTGATCTGTTTTCAAGCAAATAACTAAAGTTTTTTGTCTTATTTTCCCTTTTTAACAGATGATGATCATGATGGGCATCATTGGAGTCATTGTGGTTGGAATAATATTCTGTAAGTACAATGTTGTTTTGTTTTAGTCATTTAGGTTTATGGGACAAGTGAAATCTTCCCTTTTTCTTTTAAATAACATACTGTATCTTCCTAAAGTTCTGAACTTTTTTTACAATTTCATGTTACGGTCACACATTTCAATGAATTTTTATTGGGATTTTGTGTGACAGACGAACACTAAGTAGTGCTTGATTGTGAATTATAGGTAATGGATACCAACATGAAGCACATTTTCATTAGAGAACAAAACAAAACAAGCCATGAAACCAAAGTATTTAACTAGTCAAGTGGATATAAAACTGAAACATTGAGTTTATAAATCCCCACCTGACTGGAGTTAATTTTGATCAATAATCACTGGAACATTGATCAACGTACTTTATGTATATTGATTATTTTGATGACGGCACTCGACAAAATGTTATGTTTGTTGCTGATTTCTCAGTTTGTGAATAAATGATGTTTTCATTACTTTTTATTTTTGTGTTTTTCTGATGTAAAGCACTTTGAACTGCCTTTTTTTTTTTTTTACCTGTAATGAAACTATGAGCAACACACTCCACAAATCCTCTCTCTATGGAAAAGAAGAAAGCCATGTGAAATCCTGTTTGCAATTTCCATGTTGGGGTCACAGCAAACATGAACCTTTTTATCCACATGCAAAACACGTCAGGCGGAAAACCGACTCAGCTCATTTAACTAAACAGACCACAGCAGTGGCAGCATCACGCTGTCAGGACAGAGAAGCTGGTCGGAGTTGATGAGAAGGTGGACGGAGACAAACACTTGCAAATCCTGGATCACAACCTGCTGAAAGCTACAAAAGACTGGAGACTGGTGCAAAGGTCCACTTTCCTGCAGAATAAGAACCCTAAACATTCAACCGGAGTTACAATGGAAATGTTTTGATCAAAGTATATTCATGCATTTGAAGGGCCCAGTCAAAGTCCAGAGCTAAATCCAACCGAGCTGCTGCAAGATTTAAAAAAAAAATGGAGCTCAGAGAAGCTCTCCGTCCAATCAAACTGAGATTTTAAAAAAATATCAGAAATACCCTCAAATATTTGTAGCTTCAGCAAAAGATGGTTCTACAAGTATTAATTCAGACTCGCAAAACCCATTTTACACATACACACACCCCCATCTGAGCTTAGGAAGGAAGGAAGGAAGGAAGGAAGGAAGGAAGGAAG